GTGTAGGCTCCATGAATAAAACAAAAATTTTACGCATTGGTACCAACACTAAATGACTAAATCGAAGTCTGTAATTGAATATTTGAATGCATTTTAACCAAATTAAGTTGGCAACAATTGTGATGTTGTCATGTTTACATTCTAATTTTTCATATTTAAATGACACATAAAAAAGAATTTGACGTTTTAGAATTTCGAAGCTGTCAGTTGTGTTTTTGAATATTTCGTTTAATTCGTGTATTATTTCGTTTATTTTGCTTGTTGTTTGTGTTATTTTATATCGTTTAAGTTTTCATTGCCGTTTTTGTGTTTGTTATATATCGCTTTTTTGTGTTTCCTATATTTAAAATGCCGAAGCATTTAAATAGTCGGAGTCAAGAGTTGGTGTCATCCTTAATACGCTATTTTGAGGCAGAACGGGATAATAATGGACCTTTGTTACCTTTAAAAGCTGTTAGAGAGGTAAATAGGATTATTATTAATTATATATTAGAATATTTAACAAAATATATGTTGGATACATGAAAATATATATACCAGAGACTGACTTTAGATGGCAAAATTTTTGGGTTTTATATCAGAAAATGTCTTTAAAAATGGCTAAAAACATACTTTTGGCGGTGCATCATATTGGTTATAAAAACTCAGACTTTTGACATTTTGGTATTATTCATGTAAACGCCATCTATCGCCCTTTAGTTGCACTACCACTTTCCCTTGATGCAAGGATTTTAGCATCACATTGACAACCGTGCCCGATCAGCTGATTGATGACGTGTACGTAGTTTACTTTTAAATTTACTATAGTAAACAAATCGACCGAAATATCAATAAACAATTATTTAAATCGTTATAAAAGACTTCCTAATATTTTGCTTTTCCTTAAAATGTATTCGCATTTAATCACACGCTTGTTACTTCTTATTGACACTTTTGCATTAATAAAAGAACAGTTTATCAATATTGACAGCATAAAACAGAATCATGTAAAAAATAGTTTCAATTAACATTTTAATGTGATTACTCCTCGTACTCAAAGCTTCATTGTACAGATGAACTACTGTCAAGTTGTTGCCAACTTGAAAACAAAATAATATTTTTTACCACACAGTGTGGTGTTTTACACTATTTATGGTTAAAAAACGACCCTAAATATTAATAATATGCAGAGTTAAATAGTTTAAAACAATAATAAAAACCTTTTAAATTCTATTTTTTATCTCTGAGTTGGCAACGCACATAGGAATGGAAACCTGTCAGGTTGACGTCAAACTAGTACAAAATATCAATTAACCTATGATTTAAATCGCGATTAAAGACTTTTACCAATATTTTGCTATTCCTTACAATGTATTTGCATTTAATCACGCGCTTGTTACTTCTTATTGACACTTTTTAATAATAAAAAACAGTTTATCATTTATTGACAACATAAAACAGAAAAATATGTTAGAATTTTAATTAACAATTTAATTACCCCTCGTAATCACAAGCTCCATGATACAGATGAACTACTGCGAAGATATTGCCAACTCACAAACAAAATAATAATAGAATGTTGTTTTAGACTATTTTTAGAGAACAAAAGACATTAAATTGTTATAACTTACAGAGTTAAATAGTTTAAAACAATAAATAAACCTTTGAAATATTGTTTTAAATTCTATTTTTTCATCTTTGTGTTGGCAACCCACATCAGGTCAGAAGTATCAGACAAACGTAAAAGTAGCACAAATCAACCAAAATATCAAAAAACAATTAATTAAATCGCGATTAAATACTTACCAATATTTTGCTATTCCTTACAATGTATTCGAAGTTAATCACACGCTTCGTACTTCTTACTGACACTTTTGCATTAATAAAAGACAATATTGACAGCATAAAACAGAAACATGTAAAAAATAGTTTCAATTAACATTTTAATATGATTACCCCTCGTATTCATAGCTTGATTGTACAGGTGAACTACTGTCAAGTTGTTGCCAACACTCAAAAAACAAAAAAATAATATTTTTTACTGCAAAATATGGTGTTTTACACTATTTATGGTTAAAAAACGATCCTAAATATTAATAATATACAGTTAAGCCTGATTTATAGATTGCCTTCCGTCCTTCCTCCCGTAAAAGATGAACAATACGAAAACGTAGTCCCATTTATAGATTTCCGTACGGGAATCTTTAAATGGCACTACGTTTTTGGTATTGTTCATCTTTTACGGGAGGAAGGAAGGAGGGCAATCTATAAATCAGGCTTTAAATAGTTTAAAACAATAAATAAACTTTTTAAACAGTGTTTTAAATTATTTTTTTATCTTTGAGTTGGCAACGCACATAAAGCCGAACTCTCATATAGACGTCAAACTAGTAAACAAATCGACCGAAATATCAATAAACAATGATTAAAATAATAATAAATTAAATAAATAAAGATTTACCAATATTTTGCTATTCCTTACAATGTATTTAAAGTTAATCACGCGCTTGCATTAATAAAAGAACAGTTTATTAATATTGTCAATATTATTGACAGCATAGAACAGAAACATGTAAAGAAGAGTTTTAATTAACATTTTAATTGGATTACCCCTCGTATTCATAGCTTTATTGTACATATGAACTACTGTCAAGTTGTTACCAACTCACAAACAAAATAATTTTTTTACCGCAAAATGTGATGTTTTACACTATTATGGTTAAAACATTCCTAAATACTAGTAATATACAGAGTTAAATAGTTTAAAACAATAAATAAACCTTTGAAATCATGTTTTAAATTATATTTTTTTATCTTTGAGTTGGCAAACAGAACTGTCAGATAGACGTCAAACTAGTAAACAAATCGACCGAAATATTTAGAGGAAAAGGCCAATAAACCAAAAAAAAAATATTTATATATACAGTGTGTCGCATTTAAGATGAAGACACTCCCATATTTTCGCTATTTCAAGGAATAGAGATTTGAATTTTTTCACATTCATACATGTTGGTGGGTCACATTTTTTAAGATACTCAACTGAAATCTGAACTTAAAACTTGGCCTACTACGAATTCACAAACGGGGCCAGTTGTCGATATTTTGCTTCGCGTTAGAAATATCGAAAAAAATTATTAGAAAAAGTTGTTCGGGATATTATTCTAACCCCGTATACCGATTTTCATAGCAAAATTCGCATTTCTAATTCATTTATTTTTATTAGTTTTATTATTGTTTTATACCATTTCCTTAATTTGATAAATTATAATTGATTTGTAATTTCCAAAAATTGTTTTAATTATTTATTTAACGGCCATAAACACTAGTTAGTATCAAATTATTACTTGCCATGGCTCCCTTATTATCAAACTAAAAAATGAACTTGTAATAATTTTGTGTGGACCAAAATAAAAATGCGAATTTTGTTATAAAAATTGATTTATGGGGTTAGAATAATATTCTGAACAACTTTTTCCAATAACTTTTTTCGATATCTCTAACGCGAAGCAAAATATCGAGAACTGGCCCTGTTTGTGAATTTGTAGTAGGCCAAGTTTAAAGTTCAGATTTCAGTTGAGTAGCTTAAAAAATGTGACCCATCAACATGTATGAATGTGAAAAAATTCAAACCTTTATTCCTTCAAATAGCGAAAATATGGGGGTGTCTTCATCTTAAGTGCGACACACTGTATATCAATAAAAAATTATTTAAATCGTGATTAAAGACTTCTCACTATTTTGCTTTTCCTTACAATGTATTCGCATTTAATCACACGCTTGTTACTTCTTATTGACACTTTGCATTAATAAAACAACAGTTTATCAATATTGACAGCACAAAACCGAAACATGTAAAAAAGAGTTTCAATTAACATTTTAATATGATTACCCCTCGTATTCATAGCTTGATTGTACAGGTGAACTACTGTCAAGTTGTTGCCAACTCGCAAACAAAATAATAATATTTTTTACTACAAAATGTGGTGTTTTACACTATTTATGGTTAAAAAATGTCCCTAAATATTAATAATATAAGAGTTAAATAATTTAAAACAATAAATAAACTTTTGAAATAGCGTTTTAAATTTTTTTTATCTTTAAGTTTGCAACGCACATAAGAACAGAACTGTCAGATAGACATCAAACTAATACAAATCGACTAAAATATTATTAAACTATGATTTAAATCGCGATTAAAGACTTTTACCAATAGTTTGCTATTCCTTACAATGTATTCGCATTTAATCACGCGCTTGTTACTTTTTATTGACACTTTTTAAAAAGTAAAAAAACAGTTTATCAATATTAAAAATGAAAGAAAACTTTATATCATAATCACAAGCTCCATGGTACAAATGAACTACTGCCAAGATGTTGCCAACTCAAACAAAATAATATTTTTACCACGGAATGTTGTTTTAGACTATTTTTTTATAATAAAAGACATTAAATTGTAATAATGTACAGAGTTTAATAGTTTAAAACAATAAAAAACCTGTGAAATATTGTTTTAAATTCTATTTTTCGTCTTTGTGTTGACAACCCACGTAAGGTCAGAACTATCAGATAAACGTAAAAGTAGCAATGTATTTGCACGCTTGTTACTTCTTATTGACACTTTTGCATTAATAAAAGAACAGTTTATCAATATTGCACAGCATAAAACAAAAACATGTAAAAAAGAGTTTCAATTAACATTTTAATATGATTACCCCTCGTATTCATAGTTTCATTGTACAGATGAACTACTGTCAAGTTGTTGCCAACTCACAAACAAAATAATAATATTTTTTACCACAAAATGTGGTGTTTTGCACTATTTATGGTTAAAAAACAATCATAAATATTATAAATATACAGAGTAAAATAGTTTAAAACAATAAATAAACTTTTGAAACAGTGTTTTAAGTTTTATTTTCTTGTCTTTGAGTTGGCAACGCACATAAAACATAGCTGTCAAATAGACGTCAAACTAGTAAACAAATCGACCGAAATATCAATTAACAATGATTTAAATACAGGCGCCCAACAAGCACACGCTGCTGCAGATCAGGGACGCGGTCAGGGACGGGCTGCGCGCCATCAACAACGCCATCGAGGACAAGGCCGTGATCCCGGGCGCGGGGGCGTTCGAGGTGGCGGCCAACAAGGAGCTGCTGGCCTTCAAGGACACCGTCAAGGGCAAGGCCAGGCTGGGCGTGGCCGCCTACGCTGAAGCCCTGCTCGTCATCCCCAAGGTCTTGGCCACCAACTCTGGGTTCGACGCGCAGGACACCATCGTGAAGCTGCAGGAGGAGTCGCGGTTGAACCCGGATCCGGTGGGAGTGGATTTGACCTCGGGAGAGCCCGTGAATCCCAAAGATGCCGGCATCTTCGATAACTACATCGTCAAGAAGCAAATCATCAACTCTTGCTCCGTTATAGCCAGCAACTTGATTTTGGTGGATGAAATCATGAGGGCTGGTATGAGCAGTCTCAAAGGATAATTTCATTGTTTTTTCATTATTTTTCACAATTTATCACACGCTTTATAACTTGTATTAACATTTTGCATTAATAAAAAAACAGTTCACTAAATGTATGGTTTTATTTTTTACCACTCATAGAAACAAAAAAACAATTCTTAAAAATTTAAACCGTTTCTTAAAATTGAAATTTTCGAATTTTTATCAGGATCGCAGAAACGCGAGGAGGTATACAAAGCGATGTTGCCAGATTTCCGAAAAATCCCAGATCCTGGGTACTTTTTAAAAATTTCTTAAAAATTTAAACCATTTCCTAAAATTTTGAAATTTTCGGATTTTTATTAGGATCGCAGAAATGCGAGGAGGTATACTCCTGATACGATGCGATGTTGTCAGTTTTCTGAAAAATCCAAGATCCTGGTACTTTTTTAAAATTTCTTAAAAATTTAAACCGTTCGATGAAATTTTCGGATTTTGTATTAGGATCGCAGAAACGCGAGGAGGTGTACTCCTGATACAATGCGATGTTGCCAGATTTCCGAAAAATCCCAAATTCTGGTACTTTTTTTAAAATTCTTAAAAATTTAAACCGTTTCTTAAAATTTTGAAATTTTCGAATTTTTATTAGGATAGCAGAAACGCGAGGAGGTGTACTCCTGATACAATGCGATGTTGCCAGATTTCTGAAAAATTCCAGATTCTGGAACTTTTAAAAATTCTTAAAAATTTAAACCATTTCCTAAAATTTTTAAATTTTCGAATTTTTATTAGGATCGCAGAAAAGCGAGGAGGTGTACTCCTGATACAATGCAATGTTGCCAGATTTCCGAAAAATCCCAGATTCTGGGTACTTTTTTAAAAATTTCTTAAAAATTCAAACCATTTCCTAAAATTTTGAAATTTTCGGATTTTGTATTAGGATCGCAGAAACGCGAGGAGGTGTACTCCTGATACAATGCAATGTTGCCAGATTTCCGAAAAATTAAAGATCCTGGTACTTAAAAACTCTTTAAAATTTAAACCATTTCCTAAAATTTTGAAATTTTCGAATTTTTATTAGGATCGCAGAAACGCGAGGAGGTATACTCCTGATACAATGCGATGTTGCCAGATTTCCGAAAAATCCCAGATTCTGGTACTTTTTTAAAAATTCTTAAAAATTTAAACCGTTTGATAAAATTTTGAAATTTTCGGATTTTTTTTAGGATCGCAGAAACGCGAGGAGGTATACTCCTGATACAATGCGATGTTGCCAGTTTTCCGAAAAATACCAGATCCTGGTATTTCAATTTTTTCAGGTGTGTAAATAAAAGTTCATGTGCTTAAATAAAAAATTTATTAATATAGGTAAACATTAAATGACAAGAAAAAATAAATCAACACATTTTTAAAGTAATAATTTAAATAAAACTACCAAACTTTTTCTTGAAGGGATGGTCATCTGGAGTTGGACTTTAAAAGAGGGAAGCGCGAACTTAGAACCTAAAAAAATCAAAATTTAATCTTTATTTTTTTATTTTCTCTTATTTATATTACCATCTTCCTTATTCAGGGAGTACTCTGCAAACTTTGTTATGGTGGGAGCCATAATCTTAGGTGGCATAGTTTTTTCCTCCCAATTATCCAAACAATTTTCCAGATCTGAGTCTATGTGAACTTCAGGGGCAGTTTTTATCGGTTTCTTTTCATGGGCCAATTTAACACCTTCAGCATATGGCAACATGGTCATCATAAAATAATTCTATATCCTATGGAAATGTTTTCCTATGGAAATTTTCTCCTATGAAAAATTTCTCCCATGGAAATTTTATCCAGGAGAAATTTTCTCCGGTGAGAATTTTATCCAGTGAAAATGTTCTACAATGGAAATTTTATCCAGTGAAAATTTTCTCCAATGGAAATTTTATCCAGGAGAATATTTCTCCATTGAGTATTTTCTCCAATAGAAATTTTATCCAGGAGAAAATTCCTCCAGTGAAAATTTTATCCAATGAAATAATATTTGAAAATATCAATGAAGCACATCAATAAGAAATGATTTAAATCGCGATTAAAGGCTTACCAATATTTTGCTATTCCTTACAATGTATTGGCATTTAATCACACGCTGGTTACTTTTTATTGACACTTTTGCATTAATAAAAGAACAGTTAATCAATATTGACAGCATAAAATCATGAGATTAGCCCTCGTAATCATAATACAGATTATGGCACAGATGAACTACTGTCAAGTTGTTGCCAACTCACAAACAAAATAATAATATTTTTAACCACAGAATGTTGTTTTAGACTATTTATTATTATTATCAACAAAAGACATTAAATTGTAATAATGTGCAGAGTTAAATAGTTAAAAACAATAAAAAAACCTGTGAAATATTGTTTTAAATTCTATTTTTCGTCTTTGTGTTAACAACCTAGTCAGAACTATCAGATAAACGTAAAAGTAGCAATTTATTTGCACGCTTGTTACTTCTTATTGACACTTTTGCATTAATAAAACAGCAGTTTATCAATATTGACAGCATAAAACAGAAATATGTAAAAAAGAGTTTCAATTAACATTTTAATATGATTACCCCTCGTATTCATAACTTCATTGTACAGATGAACTACTGTCAAGTTGTTGCCAACTCACAAACAAAATAGTAATATTTTTTACCACAAAATGTGGTGTTTTAACTATGTATGGTTAAAAAACGACCCTAAATATTATTAATATACAGAGTTAAATAGTTTAAGACAATAAATAAGCTTTTGAAATTGAGTTTTAAATTCTTTTTTTTATCTTTAAGTTGGTAACGCACATAAGAACAGAACTGTTACTTCTTATTGACACTATTGCATTAATAAAATAACAGTTTATCAATATTGACAACATAAAACAGAAACATGTACGTATAAAAGAGTTTCAATTAACATTTTAATGTGATTCCTCCTCGTACTCCATTGTACAGTTGAACTACTGTCAAGTTGTTGCCAACTCACAAACAAAATAATAATATTTTTTATCAGAAAATGTGGTGTTTTACACTATTTATGGTTAAAGAAACGACCCTAAATATTAATAATATACAGAGTTAAATAGTTTAAAACAGTAAACCTTTGAAATCGTATTTTAAATTATATTTTTTTATCTTTGAGTTGGCAACGCACATAAGAACAGAACTGACAGATAAACGTCAAACTAGTACAAATCGACGATTAAAGACTGACCAATATTTTGCTATTCCTTACAATGTATTTGAAGTTAATCACAAGCTTGTTATTGTTACTTCTTATTGAAACTTTTGCATTAATAAAAGAAGTTTATCAATATTGACGGCATAAAACAGAATCATGTAAAAAGAGTTTCAATTAATATTTTAATGTGATTACTCCTCGTATTCATAACTTCATTGTACAGATGAACTACTGTCAAGTTGTTGCCAACTCACAATCAAAACAGAGCTGCAAGCTCTCAGAAAACTTAAATCGTTTTTTTGATTTAAATCGTTTTAATGACTTAAGTCATTTGGTAATAAGTCATTTCTCTAAAACTGACTTAAGACTTAAAATTTAAATAATTTTCAAAATGATTTGTGACTTAAATATTTTTTTCAAAATAGAAAAAACTTAAGTCATTAATAAAAGGCTTAAATCAGTACATACGATTTAAGTCATATAGAAACGATTTAAGTCAAAAAAAGATTTTAGTCAAAAAAAGATTTAAGTCTTTTTGAAAAAGATTTAAGTCTTTTTAGAAAATATTTAAGTCTTTTTAGAAAATATTTAAGTCAGATTTTTCATATATTTTTTTATAAATTTTTAACAGCGGCATTTTCTTTTGAACTGCCAGGGGTTCACGCGGGGGCAGATCAAAAACTCCTTTAATTTCCTGCCTACAATTGCTACCGCTAGTGAATAAAAAAACCGCCGCGGTTAGCTTTTAATGTCTTGTCTAAAATAAATTTAAAAAAATGCGGTTTTAAAATTTTGTTATTTTGTTTGCCAACATTCGTCGTGTTATGCGTGCGTTAGGTCTAATTTGTAACTTTTATCTATTTTAACAGAGTTTGAATCTATTACCGTTTAGAAGTTACCCATTTATGTATACATACAAACATACAGTGAGGCTACTTTTTTATATATATATAAAAAAGTAGCCTCACTGTATGTACACTACTAAAAAAGGTGGTTTAAGTTTTTATTTTGATTGTCTACTCAAAAAATGTGTTTTAAGTTTTTATTTTGTTTCTAAGTGTTCTGAAAATAAATCGTTTTAAATTCTTAACATAGTGGTTTATTATCATCTGTATCTACAATAGATTAATAATATCAGTATCATTAATACCATAAAGTTATTATTAACATTTAAAAAATCGTTGTATTGACTTAAGGGTAATTATTTTGATTTAAATTACAATTTTTGATTCAAGTCATTTTATTGACTTAACTCTTAGATCACGATTTAAATAAAAAATATAGACTTAAGTCATAAAAACGACTTACTAAAGGACTTAAGTCATAAGATGACTTAAATCACTTTATATTGATTTTAGAATTTGCGAAAATGACTTGACTTAAAAGAAAATGATTTAATTCAAAGACTTAATACTTAAATCATTTGAACTTTATCTTAGAATTGACTTAAGATTTAAATCATTTTGATTTTAGAATTGACTTAAGACTTAAGATTTAAGTCTTTTTAAAACTGACTTGTTGCAGCTCTGAATCAAAATAGTAATATGTTTACCACAAAATGTGGTGTTTTACACTATGTATGGTTATAAAACGACCCTAAATATTATTAATATACAGAGTTAAATAGTTTAAGACAATAAATAAACTTTTGAAATTTTTTTTTAAATTCTTTTTTTTTATCTTTGAGTTGGCAACGCACATAAGAACAGAAATGTCAGATAGACGTCAAACTAATACAAATCGACTAAAATATCAATCAATAAAATTTAAATCGCGTTTAAAGACTTTTACCAATATTTTGATATTCCTTACAATGTATTAGCATTTAATCACGTGCTTGTTACTTCTTTTTGTCACTTTTTTAATAATAAAAAAACAGTTTATCAATATCGACAACATAAAACAGAAAAATAATGTAAAATGGAGTTTTAATTAACAATTCATTGGGGTACCTCGTGATACAAAGAAAACTTTGTATCATGGGATTACCCCTCGTAATCACAAGCTCCATGGTACAGATGAACTACTGCCAAGATGTTGCCAACTCAAACAAAATAATATTTTTACCACGGAATGTTGTTTTAGACTATTTTTTGATAACAAAAGACATTAAATTGTAATAATGTACAGAGTTAAATAGTTTAAAACCATAAAAACCCATTGAAAAATTGTTATAAATTCTATTTTTCATCTTTGTGTTGGCAACCCACGTAAGGTCAGAACTCTGTGGGTAAAAGGCATAAGGGGATAAGTCAAAAAAAAAATTTTTTAGTAGTGCCTCAAACGGGCTCGCATTAATTTAGGAAATACATTTACGGTTAGCGGTTATACATACCCTTTTGTCAGCACATGTCATATGCTAGCAAAAGGGTATACTCGCTAATCATAAATATATATCCTGAATTAATGCGAACACCTTAAAGTCTCTACCAAAAAATTGCTTTTTTTGACTTACCCCCTTATGCCTTTTACCCACAGAACTATCAGATAAACATCAAAGTAGCACAAATCAACTAAAATATTAATAAACAATGATTTAAATCGTGATTAAAGACTTACCAATATTTTGCTATTCCTTACAATGTATTCGAAGTTAATCAAAACCTTGTTATTTCTTATTGACACTATTGCATTAATAAAATAACAGTTTATCAATATTGACAACATAAAACAGAAAAATGTAAAAAGTTTCAATTAACATTTTAATGTGATTCCTCCTCGTACTCCATTGTACAGTTGTTGCCAACTCACAAACAAAATAATAATATTTTTTACCACAAAATGTGGTGTTTTACACTATTTATGGTTATAAAACGACCCTAAATATTAATAATATACATAGATTAAAACAATTGTTTTTATTAATAAATAAACCTTTGAAATCGTGTTTTAAATTATATTTTTCTTATCTTTGAGTTGGCAACGCACATGTCAAATAGACGTCAAACTAGTAAACCAATCGACCAAAATATCAATAAACAATGATTTAAATCGTGATTAAAGACTTCCCAATATTTTGCTATTCGGATTGACACTTTTGCATTAATAAAATAACAGTTTATCAATATTGACAAGTTGTCAATGACAACATAAAACAGAAAAATGTAAAAAAGAGTTTCAATTAACATTTTAATGTGATTCCTCCTCGTACTCCATTGTACAGTTGAACTACTGTCAAGTTGTTGCCAACTCACAAACAAAATAATAATATTTTTTACCACAAAATGTGGTGTTTTACACTATTTATGGTTATAAAACGACCCTAAATATTAATAATATACAGAGTTCAATAGATTAAAACAATAAATAAACCTTTGAAATCGTGTTTTAAATTATATTTTTCTTATCTTTGAGTTGGCAACGCACATGTCAAATAGACGTCAAACTAGTAAACAAATCGACCAAAATATCAATAAACAATGATTTAAATCGTGATTAAAGACTTCCCAATATTTTGCTATTCCTTACAATGTATTCGGATTGACACTTTTGCATTAATAAAATAACAGTTTATCAATATATTGACAAGTTGTCAATGACAACATAAAACAGAAAAATGTAAAAAAGAGTTTCAATTAACATTTTAATGTGATTCCTCCTCGTACTCCAGTGTACAGTTGAACTACTGTCAAGTTGTTGCCAACTCACAAACAAAATAATAATATTTTTTACCACAAAATCTGGTGTTTTACACTATTTATGGTTATAAAACGACCCTAAATATTAATAATATACAGAGTTCAATAGATTAAAACAATAAATAAACCTTTGAAATCCTGTTTTAAATTATATTTTTCTTATCTTTGAGTTGGCAACGCACATGTCAAATAGACGTCAAACTAGTAAACAAATCGACCAAAATATGAATAAACCACAGACCTGTGGAATAAACAATGATTAATAAAATAACAGTTTATCAATATTGACAAGTTGTCAATGACAACATAAAACAGAAAAATGTAAAAAAGTTTTAATTAACATTTTAATGTGATTCCTCCTCGTACTCCATTGTACAGTTGAACTACTGTCAAGTTGTTGCCAACTCACAAACAAAATAATAATATTTTTTACCACAAAATGTGGTTTTACACTATTTATGGTTAAAAAACTACCCTAAATATTAATAATATACAGAGTTAAATAGTTTAAAACAATAAATAAACCTTTGAAATCGTGTTTTAAATTATATTTTTCTTATCTTTGAGTTGGCAACGCACATGTCAAATAGACGTCAAACTAGTAAACAAATCGACCAAAATATCAATAAACAATGATTTAAATCGTGATTAAAGACTTCCCAATATTTTGCTATTCCTTACAATGTATTCGGATTGACACTTTTGCATTAATAAAATAACAGTTTATCAATATTGACAAGTTGTCAATGACAACATAAAACAGAAAAATGTAAAAAAGAGTTTCAATTAACATTTTAATGTGATTCCTCCTCGTACTCCATTGTACAGTTGAACTACTGTCAAGTTGTTGCCAACTCACAAACAAAATAATAATATTTTTTACCACAAAATGTGGTGTTTTACACTATTTATGGTTAAAAAACGACCCTAAATATTAATAATATACAGAGTTAAATAGTTCAAAACAATAAATAAACTTTTGAAAAAGTGTTTTAAATTCTATTTTTTTTTCTTTGAGTTGGCAACGCACGTTGAGGAGAGAACTGTCAGATAGACGTCAAACTAGTAAACAAATCGACCGAAATATCGATAAACAATGATTTAAATCGCGATTAAAGATGGGTCGGCGGTGCAGCGTGCCCCACTGCTACACGGGCTACAGAAAAAGCAAAGACCGAGCGGAGAAAGAAACGGGATCGCTGTTTAAGGTCCCGGACGATGATTACTTCAGAGAGCAGTGGAACAAGGCGATAGCACGGGAAGACCGACTACTGGGCGCCAAAGATTTCGTGTGCTACAAGCACTTCAGCCGCGACGATTTTATACACAAGAGATTTCTGAAGCACGCTGTGGTGAGTGATAGTTTCAGTTGTTCAGTGTTTGCACATCGTGTGGTTTTGTTTGTAGGAAGAATATAAGGTGCCCAAGTTGAAACCAGATGCAATACCGTCGATATTTCCCGAGTTACCCGATCATATAATTAAGATATGCAAAAAACGCAGAAAAATGCCTCTGCCTATCAAACAAGAACAAGAAACGTTAATACCAGAGCCGGAGGTGCAAATAAAGGAAGAATTAGTTGAAGATGAGGTTGAAAGTGGAATAAAAACCACAGAGATTGAAATCAAGACTGAAATACAGGAAGAGGAGGAATTCATTGGGTATTAAACTTCACATCAAAGATTTTTTAATTGTATTAAATATTTTAGTGTCAAAATCTATAAATGTGTGGAGTGCGACTACAAATCAACATACAAACACAATTTACAAACCCACATGACAAAACACGAAAAAAAGTGCAAGTATGTTTGTGAGAAGTGTCCCTTTTTTAAGACAAAATGGATAGAAACGTATAAAAGTCATCTACGAATAAAACATGATGTGGGAGAACTGAAAGAGTATACTTGCAGCTTGTGCACATTTAAAACTAAAGTAAGACTATTTTTTCCACTAAATTAAAATTAACTTAACATTTTAAGGTGCAAGTGTGTCTAAAAAGGCACATGGATAGGCACAAAAAACTTTTGGGGATGGCAAGATACATTTGCCAATTGTGCAATTTTTCTACGGATGTTCATAAAGATTATTTGCAGCATAAAAAAATGCACAAAAACAGTAAGTTTCAATAAAATAATTTTTATTTTTTTTTTGTTTTATTATTGTTTTCTTTTCTTTTTGTTTCTTAGATGCTAATTTCCTTTTAAAAGACTACCACGATTTTGGTATTTTAGATGTATTATTGTCTGAAGATTTAAATGAGGAATTTTCTGAAGCCAGTACCAGTAACAGTATTATGTAAGTATACAGGTTGTAACAGTTATCCTTCTATGTAAGGGTATTTTTTTATTGCAAGAGCTACAAGGTTGGTTAACTTAGAGTGATTAATTTTATTAAATTAAATATTAATTAAAAATTGAAAAAAAAAACAATTAATTTGAAAAAACTGAAAACTGTTAAAACCAAAAATCGTCGTAACTTTTGCATACTAGACTTTGTTTTTTCTATGGCGGCCATACTGGAATTTTACATGGTTTGATTAAACTGTCAAATGTCAATTTTAAGGTTAATTTACTGTAACCCACAAAATAACCTTAAAATTGACATTTGACAGTTTGATTTTAAGGAGGACCGCTGACTTTTAATTTATAAATTTCATTTAATGAGCTTCTAATAACGCAACTTTTTTTATATAACCGACCTTGAAACACTCCAAATAAAAAAAATACCGGAGAAAACGATATTTTTTTTTTCTTATATTCATTTTCTTATATATACAGATCTTCCGATAGTTACCACTGCAAAAAATGTACTTTCACCTCTTGCACGGAAGAAAATTTACAGACGCACCAAAAATTAAAACATTGCAAGATGGGGGCACAGCAACTGTTAAAATGTGCAGAGTGCAATTTCGTATCTAAAACGATACTTTGTTTGAAATTGCACATGAAAAAACATGAAGCAGACGATTAGAATAAAATTAGAGATACCATTTTTGTTTATTTATTTTTTGACGTTTTGTTTATGACATTATTGAGAAACGTCAATAATGTAATTTGACTCACAATCCACACAACAAGGTCTGTTCTATCTCGTACTAAAAAACAAAAAATCACTGCAACACTGCACAGTTTAACGGCGGCCATTTTTGTTGTTTACAATTTTTGTGCTTTGGGTTTGTGCTCTGTTTATACAGATTAATAATCGTTTTAAACGTTGTGTTTCTCATAGTAAGCCTTAAAGGAGGCCTTAAAGTGCTAAGAACAACCATTTTACTCCTCTATTGTAAAAAATAAACTTTATTTTATCAGGGCTGTCATAAAACTGTCAAATGTCAATTTTAAGGTTAAATTATAACCCACAAATTAACCTTCAAATTGTCATTTGACAGCCCTGATAGAATAAGGTATATTTATTATAAAAGAGGAGTAAAATGGTTGTCCTTGGCACTTAAAGGCCTCATTTGAGGCTTACAAGTGCCTCTGTAAGAAACCCAACGTTTAAAACAATTATTAAACAGCACAAACCCAAAGCACAAGAATTTTAAACAACAAAAATGGCCGCCGTTAAACTGTGCAGTGTTGCAGTGATTTTTAGCATGAACAGAACTTGTTGTGTGGATTGTGATTTGACTCTAGAATTTTTAACAATTTTAATGTTTTTGGAAATTATGAAAATATATATACATAATATCCAAAAAAATTAAAATTGATTAGTTTTGATTTGAACAATTTCGCAAACCTACAGAAACGAAGTTAGGCAACCCACTGCACCATAAACCATTTTTTTGTTGTCTACAATTATTGTGCTGTTTATACAGATTAATAATTGTTTTAAACGTTTTCTTTCTTACAGAGGCACTTAAAAGAGGCTTAAAAGTGCCAAGGGCAACCATTTTACTAATCTTTTGTAAAAAATAAACCTTATTCTATCAGAGCTGTCATGAAACTGTCAAATGTCAGTTTTAAGGTTATGGTAAATTAATCTTAAAATTGGTATTTGACGTTTTGATGACAGCCCTGATCGAGTAAGGATTATTTTTTACAAAATGATGAAATGTATGAAAAATTGTAAACAACAATGGCCGCCGTTAGAGTCTGCGCAGTGTGTTGCCTAACTTTGTCATTTTTAGTATGCGCGAAACGAGATAGTGTGGATTGTGAAAAAAACGATATTATTTTGAAAAAAAATCGTTTTGCATTTATTTTGAGCCAAAATCTGCCAAGTGGCCCACCATTTTTTGTGAGGTCGTGATTATTATAGCTCAAAATTAATAATTCGCTAGATTATTGTTTTTCCACGTTATAAATTCCCTGCCTAACGGGAATAACATTCACGTTGCTAGGCGTCAGTGATTGGCCGATTTCAATATTCACTGTGATTTGAACCAATCGGGTTTTAAATTGGAAGAAGGCGACTAGAATAACGTTTAAAATTGGTTAAAAGTGAGGTTAACCGTTTGACAGATGTCAGATTTTATTTAGTTATTTTTGAAAATCATAAACGTGATAATCTAGCGAATTATCAAATTTAAGCTACAATTAGTGCAATATTAATGCTTGTCAGTACCTTAATATTATTGTTTTTAAATATTTTTTATTTGCCTTTATAAAGATTTTATTATTTGATTGAACTTGTTTTATTTCTTACCATACCTTGTTGTCCAGAGTAACAAAAAATAAAAAAAAATAAAAAATATTTATTTTAATCTTATAAAAAAAATATAAATTAAAGTACACACAAAAAACTGTAAATTAATGATCAATAATGTAGTTGGGGTGTACAACCAGGTAAGGGTCCTTTTCTTCTTCTCCTTGGTCCTTTCCTTTAAGACCGACTTTGTTTAAAGTGATAAGAATTTGGTCCTGGAAAAATATTTTTTGAATTGTTTGTAACAATGATATAATTATTTATATAACTCACATGGTAGATCAGACGATCCAGCACTTTTTCAAACATTTCCTTCTTTTCTATTAATTCCTCCTCGGTTTCAATTTGATCAGCGACATGTTCCAAATACCATTCGACTACGTTGCTCATCCTCATACCTTCCTCATTTTCTGCAATAATTGTTTTAATTTGTTGATAAAAATTTTAAAGGTTTTTTTATAAATATTTTATTTACTTGCCTGATATGATCTTTAAAAATAATAGAATATTGTGTGAGTTTTATTTTTTATTCAGGAAATATAGTTATGAGTTACCACTAAAGTGTAGTTTTAATTTAATGAATTTAAAATATTTGCTTCCTCATTTTCTGCAATAATTGTTTTAATTTGTTGATAAAAATTTTAAAGGTTTTTTTATAAATATTTTATTTACTTGCCTGATATGATCTTTAAAAATAATAGAATATTGTGTGAGTTTTATTTTTTTATTCAGGAAATATAGTTATGTGTTACCACTAAAGTGTAGTTTTAATTTAATGAATTTAAAATATTTGCTCCTTCCCTGACACACTTTATTCTAAGAATGTTTTTTAAACCTTCCAGTGAGAATATTCTTAGGATCATGCTATATTTCTTCTAAAGAACATGCTTAAAAGACATATAGCATGATCCTAAGAATATTCTTACTGGCCTATAGGTAGGTTCTTAGAAGGTGCAAAGTTTTAGTGGTAAAAATTAGTCTACTCTAAACATATGCTTAGAATGTTAAGAAAGTAATTGCTATAGAAAGTTCATTTAGGAATATTCCTGTTCAATTTTAAGAATCTTCTAAGAAGATATGACCTGGAATAATTGAATATTCTTAGAACCTTCCTTTATTGCTAAGAATGTTCTTAGGGACTTTTAAAACATTCAATAGATACCCTTTTAATAATGCAATTAGATTCTTAAAAGCTTCTTAAAACCTTCCTAAAAAGCATCCTAAGAACATTTTAAGAATACGTTTTTGGAATGTTCTTAGAAGGTTTCTTATGTAGCTTCTAGGAAGCTTTTGAGAATATTTCCAAATATGTCAGATACCCACGTTCTAATATGTTGGATTATACATTCGTAAAATTCTTCAGGAGACGACAAATACGCCTCACTGTCATAATATGACAGTGAAATGTATTTGTCCCCTTAAAAAATTTTGCGACATATTAATATATATTTATTTAAAAATATTAAAAAAAAAATTTGACCTCTAAACCATAAGTTGTATGACATTATTTCATAAAAAGTAAAATTGGAAAATTTTGTGGGATAAGTCAGATTAGATTGAAGTTAAAGATAGTTAAGATTGTTATACATAAAAATGTTAATTCAGAAATAAAAAATCGGTATACAAATTAATAAATATTTATTTTTAACATTTAATTTAATACCTTTATACGTAGTTTATGGTATATTTTACTATTATATAGGTAACTGAACTAAATATGCTTAACAGGAATATTCCTAAATGAACTTTCTATAGCAATTACTTTCTTAACATTCTAAGCGTATGTTTAGAGTAGACTAATTTTTACCACTAAAACTTTGCACCTTCTAAGAACCTGCCTATAGGCCAGTAAGAATATTGTTTAGAAGAAATATAGCATGATCCTAAGAATATTCTCACTGGAAGGTTTAAAAAACATTCTTAGAATAAAGTGTGTTATCAGAGTACCCATTTTAATATATAATAATAATAATAATAATAAACTTTATTTCCAACAGGAATACACCCAATTACAGGAAATGTAAAATGAAGAAAAGTTAAGATAAAGATATATCAACATAAAAAAAAGAAGTTAAATAGCAAGTATGATTACAAAAAATATATATATATATACAAATACAAACATGTTATTAAAGACTTTAAAGAATCAAAATTAATATCACAGTTGTAGCAAAAACTATTAAATAAAGAGCACATGTTGTACACAGGTGCGCGACGTAGCATATTAGTATGGGGAGTATCAATTCTAAATAAAACAATATTTCTGGAGTTGAATCTGGGTACGTTAAATTTTAAACAAATTAGTAAATATGGACAGTCAATTTTATCATGACAAAGATTGTACAAAAATGAAATCGCTGCCACAACTCTACGCTTTTTCAACGAAATCATGTTGTGCCTGTCAAGCAGGGTAGAATAATCTATTCCTCTTTCAGGGTATACGCGATCCTCTTTAAAGGTAAGGTACTTTAAAAACTTACCCTGGTTAGATTCCAGGACTCGAATGTAGGTTTCATAAATGGGAAACCAAATTAACCAACGAATTAAAAAGAAAGATTAAGCACTTGTTATCCTTAAAATTTCTCAAAATAAAACCAAGATTTTTTTAATATATTACATTAATTACATAACACCCTGTATAAGTTACTTTGTTCTTTAATATTTTTTAAGTAATATCTAGTAGTGAATTTCTGATTTCGTCAAATGGGAATTTTCCATCATTATATTTTTTATCTAATTGAAAATATGACTGTAGGGTTAACACATAAAATTAATTCGTGAATAAAAAATAAAACTGCTCCCCCATTATGATAGTAGTGTCAAAAAAATGCACTAAAAACTCCGACCGGTCAATTCCGCGACGTCACGTCGGCGCAGCAAACCAAAAAAAAAAAAAACTCACCCTTCTCCTGCCTGACCTCTTCCTTGCGCATGTGCACCACGATCATGTTGCTCAGCGCCTTGTACTCCTCGAAGCTGAGCACCATCCTCTTCCTGGCCCCGGCCGCCTGCGACCCCTCGGCCGACGCGTCGGCCGTCTCCTCCATCGGCTCGTCGTCGTGCAAGCTCGCGTCGTGCTCGGCCCCGAGGTGAATGTCCGGCTGCTCCACCCTGATGATGGACTTGTTGAGCAGGCGGTACGCTTCGCGCACGTGCCCGGTGCGCACCTCGTCCGAGATGTCCATGCGCGCCTGCGCCTCCGACAGACGGATCATGCTCTCGAGTTGGCGCACAGTTATGCGCCAGGTCGACTTGCCGGAGGTGGTGCTGTCGCGCAGGCGCAGCCTGTTGTAGTACCTGAAAGTGCGCACCGAAACGTTTCATGCGCCGTTTAAAATACAGGGCTCCCACGGCTAAATTACAAATTTTATTTAGAAATTTAGGAGGTTTTTTGTAAAATTTTAGGAGAAATAAAGTATGGAAATGAATTTCTTTAATTAAATAAAAACATCTCTTTACTACTTTAAAAAAAAATAATACTTCTTTTGTAATAATAAGTTATATTGACTAGTTTTTTAGCCAAATCGCTCGACGAGTTTTTTTTTACAATAAAATTAAAAGTGAGGTAAAATTACTACTGAGGTACATACATATATATACAAGTATAAATTTCACCACACTTTTAATTTTATTTAAAAAAAAACTCGTCGAGCGATTTGGCTAATGTCAAAATCAAATGATGTTATCTTTATATTTTAAGAAAAAACATGTTAACCGTTTGATTAATAACTAACAGTAATTAAATCGATAAGGTTAAGAATAGTACAACTCCAAAAATGAAATTTTTGATAAAATATTTCAAAAAATCAGTTTTATAGTTCTAGTTTTGTTAAAATATTTTAACTATTTTGTGAAATATAATATTCATATTCTGTAAAATAATTTATATCTTCTAACAAAAATATATTTTAAACTTTAAAATTGATTTTAGAAAATAAATTGTCAAAATTAAATTTGTACTGTTTTTATTCTCACCGATTCAATTGTAATGTGGATCTTAATACTTAAAAATCTCATAACAAAATATGAAGTTTGCAAAATACAGCAAAACATTCTTTAGATTGTTTACTATTTTAGCTGTCATTTAAAAAGAAAATTAAAAATCCTTTTGTTTGGTATATAACACGAAAACAAACGAAATATCGCTAAATATGACAATTTTGTAGAAGTTTTTAAGTTGTTTTTTAAGAAAAATTTTACTTGTGATATTATATCATTTTAAAAAGAATTTAATAAAATAGAACCTAAATATATATATTTTTAAATTACTTAAAAAAAAAACAGTGTACGACCGTTTTACGGTTTTTTGTAAAATTTTAGGAGAAATAAAGTATGGAAATGAATTTCTTTAATTAAATAAAAACATCTCTTTACTACTTTAAAAAAATAATAATACTTCTTTTGTAACAATAAGTTATATTGACTAGTTTTTTAGCCAAATCGCTCGACGAGTTTTTTTTTACAATAAAATTAAAAGTGAGGTAAAATTACTACTTTTGTATATATCTGAGGTACATACATATATATACAAGTATAAATTTCACCACACTTTTAATTTTATTTAAAAAAAAACTCGTCGAGCGATTTGGCTAATGCCAAAATCAAATGATGTTATCTTTATATTTTAAGAAAAAACATGTTAACCGTTTGATTAATAACTAACAGTAATTAAATCGATAAGGTTAAGAATAGTACAACTCCAAAAATGAAATTTTTGATAAAATATTTCAAAAAATCAGTTTTATAGTTCTAAATTCATGTTTGTTAAAATATTTTAACTATTTTGTGAAATATAATATTCATATTCTGTAAAATAATTTATATCTTCTAACAAAAATGTATTTTAAACTTTAAAATTGATTTTAGAAAATAAATTGTCAAAATTAAATTTGTACTGTTTTTATTCTCACCGATTCAATTGTAATGTGGATCTTAATACTTAAAAATCTCATAACAAAATATGAAGTTTGCAAAATACAGCAAAACATTCTTTAGATTGTTTACTATTTTAGCTGTCATTTAAAAAGAAAATTAAAAATCCTTTTGTTTGGTATATAACACGAAAACAAACGAAATATCGCTAAATATGACAATTTTGTAGAAGTTTTTAAGTTGTTTTTTAAGAAAAATTTTACTTGTGATATTATATCATTTTAAAAAGAATTTAATAAAATAGAACCTAAATATATATATTTTTAAATTACTTAAAAAAAAACAGTGTACGACCGTTTTACGGTTTTTTGTAAAATTTTAGGAGAAATAAAGTATGGAAATGAATTTCTTTAATTAAATAAAAACATCTCTTTACTACTTTAAAAAAAAATAATACTTCTTTTGTAACAATAAGTTATATTGACTAGTTTTTTAGCCAAATCGCTCGACGAGTTTTTTTTTACAATAAAATTAAAAGTGAGGTAAAATTACTACTTTTGTATATATCTGAGGTACATACATATATATACAAGTATAAATTTCACCACACTTTTAATTTTATTTAAAAAAAAACTCGTCGAGCGATTTGGCTAATGCCAAAATCAAATGATGTTATCTTTATATTTTAAGAAAAAACATGTTAACCGTTTGATTAATAACTAACAGTAATTAAATCGATAAGGTTAAGAATAGTACAACTCCAAAAATGAAATTTTTGATAAAATATTTCAAAAAATCAGTTTTATAGTTCTAAATTCATGTTTGTTAAAATATTTTAACTATTTTGTGAAATATAATATTCATATTCTGTAAAATAATTTATATCTTCTAACAAAAATGTATTTTAAACTTTAAAATTGATTTTAGAAAATAAATTGTCAAAATTAAATTTGTACTGTTTTTATTCTCACCGATTCAATTGTAATGTGGATCTTAATACTTAAAAATCTCATAACAAAATATGAAGTTTGCAAAATACAGCAAAACATTCTTTAGATTGTTTACTATTTTAGCTGTCATTTAAAAAGAAAATTAAAAATCCTTTTGTTTGGTATATAACACGAAAACAAACGAAATATCGCTAAAAATGACAATTTTGTAGAAGTTTCCATGTTATTTTTTAAGAAAAATTTTAGTTGTGATATTATATCATTTTAAAAAGAATTTAATAAAATAGAACCTAAATATATATATTTTTAAATTACTTAAAAAAAAACAGTGTACGACCGTTTTACGGTTTTTTGTAAAATTTTAGGAGAAATAAAGTATGGAAATGAATTTCTTTAATTAAATAAAAACATCTCTTTACTACTTTAAAAAAAAAATAATACTTCTTTTGTAACAATAAGTTATATTGACTAGTTTTTTAGCCAAATCGCTCGACGAGTTTTTTTTACAATAAAATTAAAAGTGAGGTAAAATTACTACTTTTGTATATATCTGAGGTACATACATATATATACAAGTATAAATTTCACCACACTTTTAATTTTATTTAAAAAAAAACTCGTCGAGCGATTTGGCTAATGCCAAAATCAAATGATGTTATCTTTATATTTTAAGAAAAAACATGTTAACCGTTTGATTAATAACTAACAGTAATTAAATCGATAAGGTTAAGAATAGTACAACTCCAAAAATGAAATTTTTGATAAAATATTTCAAAAAATCAGTTTTATAGTTCTAAATTCATTTTTGTTAAAATATTTTAACTATTTTGTGAAATATAATATTCATATTCTGTAAAATAATTTATATCTTCTAACAAAAATGTATTTTAAACTTTAAAATTGATTTTAGAAAATAAATTGTCAAAATTAAATTTGTACTGTTTTTATTCTCACCGATTCAATTGTAATGTGGATCTTAATACTTAAAAATCTCATAACAAAATATGAAGTTTGCAAAATACAGCAAAACATTCTTTAGATTGTTTACTATTTTAGCTGTCATTTAAAAAGAAAATTAAAAATCCTTTTGTTTGGTATATAACACGAAAACAAACGAAATATCGCTAAATATGACAATTTTGTAGAAGTTTTTAAGTTGTTTTTTAAGAAAAATTTTACTTGTGATATTATATCATTTTAAAAAGAATTTAATAAAATAGAACCTAAATATATATATTTTTAAATTACTTAAAAAAAAAACAGTGTACGACCGTTTTACGGTTTTTTGTAAAATTTTAGGAGAAATAAAGTATGGAAATGAATTTCTTTAATTAAATAAAAACATCTCTTTACTACTTTAAAAAAATAATAATACTTCTTTTGTAACAATAAGTTATATTGACTAGTTTTTTAGCCAAATCGCTCGACGAGTTTTTTTTTACAATAAAATTAAAAGTGAGGTAAAATTACTACTTTTGTATATATCTGAGGTACATACATATATATACAAGTATAAATTTCACCACACTTTTAATTTTATTTAAAAAAAAACTCGTCGAGCGATTTGGCTAATGCCAAAATCAAATGATGTTATCTTTATATTTTAAGAAAAAACATGTTAACCGTTTGATTAATAACTAACAGTAATTAAATCGATAAGGTTAAGAATAGTACAACTCCAAAAATGAAATTTTTGATAAAATATTTCAAAAAATCAGTTTTATAGTTCTAAATTCATGTTTGTTAAAATATTTTAACTATTTTGTGAAATATAATATTCATATTCTGTAAAATAATTTATATCTTCTAACAAAAATGTATTTTAAACTTTAAAATTGATTTTAGAAAATAAATTGTCAAAATTAAATTTGTACTGTTTTTATTCTCACCGATTCAATTGTAATGTGGATCTTAATACTTAAAAATCTCATAACAAAATATGAAGTTTGCAAAATACAGCAAAACATTCTTTAGATTGTTTACTATTTTAGCTGTCATTTAAAAAGAAAATTAAAAATCCTTTTGTTTGGTATATAACACGAAAACAAACGAAATATCGCTAAATATGACAATTTTGTAGAAGTTTTTAAGTTGTTTTTTAAGAAAAATTTTACTTGTGATATTATATCATTTTAAAAAGAATTTAATAAAATAGAACCTAAATATATATATTTTTAAATTACTTAAAAAAAAACAGTGTACGACCGTTTTACGGTTTTTTGTAAAATTTTAGGAGAAATAAAGTATGGAAATGAATTTCTTTAATTAAATAAAAACATCTCTTTACTACTTTAAAAAAAAATAATACTTCTTTTGTAACAATAAGTTATATTGACTAGTTTTTTAGCCAAATCGCTCGACGAGTTTTTTTTTACAATAAAATTAAAAGTGAGGTAAAATTGAACAATCAAACGAACTTGTGAAGTTCGATTGAAATTATACTTGTGAGTCTCGTTCCGAAGAGATATTTAATTA